ACAAATAGAGTTTTTTAAATATTTTTTTCATCTTTCTGGTATTTTATCTTACTTTGGAACGCGAATATTGAAACCCCCGGTATACGTATATTTATATGTGATTATATGTGAATACGTTTATTATGTGTGTATTATTTTTAACTTTTTTTTTTGTTAAACATTTATTATTTGAGACTTTTTTTATTAGGAAATAAATTTTGTTTTGAATGGCACTGAAGTTTTTTTTWAAAAAATTATAAGTAAATTTTTAGGTATATTTTTAGTTTTTCTGCTTTTTTGCATATTTTGCTTAAATATTAAGCTTATTTTTGTCCTTTTGTGGGCCAAAAAGTCCGAATTCTAGTAATATTCTATGATTAACTAGTCGAGCAACCTGAAAATACAAAGACTTCCTCTTACTGTCCTCGTTTCACAATCCCACTCTTAAACCTTTTTTACTTTTTAACATTTTTTTTTTAATATCTCACGAAAATTTATTTGTGAATAAAATTGTATACAAATCTCGATAAAAAGTTTTATTTCTGTCTCGAGAAAAAGTTTGAACAGAAATGAAACCCTTTCCGCCTCGCTCTGTAATCCCATGATTAATTAGGCGAGCAACCTGGCGAATACAAAGACTTCCTCTTCGAGCCCAACGTGCAGCAATTCGCCAACGGTTCGTTAAACTTCCTCCACATATCAAAAGACAACGAAGGGCAATACCTCTGCGAGGCAAAAAACAACATCGGAGCCGGCGTCAGCAAGGTCATTTTCCTCAAAGTTAACGGTAAACCCCCCAACATTTTTTTGAAACTTTGTTAACAATTGGGTCCAGCCCCCGCGCATTTCCTGCAGAAAGCGAAGCAACTGCAGGTGGTGAAGGGCGAGCAGGCCCACTTGCAGTGCTCTGCCCTCGGCGACACCCCCATGGAGATCACCTGGAAGCTGGGGGGCCAACACATATCCAACGACGGCGACCAGCGGTATTCCGTGAGGGCGCAGCAGCTCGCCGAAGGAATGGTCTCCGAGTTGAGCATCGAGAGGACCATCAGACAGGACACGGGGATTTTCACGTGTTCGGCGAGCAACGCCTATGGGAGCGATGACATGAATATTCAACTCATTGTCCAGGAGATTCCAGAGCCGCCGAGGAACGTCAGGGTAATGGACCAGTTATCCAGATCGATCGGGATATCTTGGACGCAGCCGTATGCCGGAAATAGCCCCATCACTAACTACATTGTCCAGTACAAACCGGGATCAGGTAATTACACCCCTTTTGCTATTATCGTCGAGATGATAAACATCSCTAATGGACCAGGCTCAAATGACGGGTTTGGGGATGATTACGAGAGGGATGAGGGGCATAACCGGAAATACATCTTGTCTAGTTTGCGATTTTTAACTTTTCGGTATTTTTTTTTCATGGGAGCGTCAAAATATTTTTTCAGTTATCAAGCATAGTGGAATTTTAAAAACAAACAAAAATACATTTTTTTTAGTTTGAAATTAAGATTCAAATTTGCATTTTTCATAATTGTTACATCTAAAAATAGCACTAATAAAGAAAATAAAAGTATGCAATGACGTACTCGGACGCACGCCACTGGTAAAAGTAATTGCCCGAAAAAAGCGTTTTTAAAAGTTCACTATTTCTGTAAAATTTTGTGAAAATAACTCGGAGAAATGAATGGATTTTAAATTTTATCTAGAAACTTTATCACCCTGTATATCCATAACGAAGCTTTTTAGGACTATCCTTTATTGGATATGTAAAATATGTGATTGCAATTTTTTGCAATATTAAGAAAACACCCTGTATTAACGTGCTTTTTTCCTGTTTACCAACTTGAACCCTAGTTTTACAAATAATAAAAAAGATTTGAGTGAAAACACAATAAATTACATAAAGTCACGCCAACTTAAGCAAATGCAATATGTACAAGGTGTTAAAAAAGATTGTAAAATATTTCAAAAAGTAATAGTATGGACCAAAACAAACAAAAAAGTTTTAAAAAACATGGGTCCGCAAAGTGACGGTTTCGGAGATATCGAAGATTATTCGTTTTTTGAAACATTTATTTGCAATCTGTTCAAACAAAAATGGAAGCTTCTAGTAAAAATTCGAGGAGCTGTTAACTTGAAAAAAATGTGTACAATGAATTCCAATTCCAAAAAAATTCCACCGTAATTCCASTAATTCCAAAAAATTCCACCAAAATTCCAGTAATTCCAACAATCCAACGTAATTGCATTTTTTTTCAGATTAATTAAAATACATACAGGGTGTCCCAGCGAGTTGAAAAAGTCCATAAGTGACCTTTAAATAATACAATTTTAAAAAAATGTGTAGATCATTGRTAGATACTAGTCTAAAATTATTTTCAACTAAACTGCGTGTCTCAAAACTAAGTTACAATACAAATTTGTGTTTTTTTAAACATCATATGTTTTTTAGCGTGTTTGGATGTACATTTTTATGACAATGTTTTAAAGATAAACTTTCATTGGTCGATTTTGCTTAGTTTTAAAAATAAGACGATATTTTGACGAAAACATGCACTTTTTAAAAATTTATCACACAAAAACTATGACAACTAGAAATTTTTTTTTCTGCCGTAAAGAAGAAGGTACAAACTATAAGGTTGTAACATTTTTTTTAGTGTGTTTCATTTGCAAAGATAAAAAAATGAAGGCATTTGGTAAAAGTNCATGACAGTAGTTGTCAAACTAATCACTGTTTCATTAATAGTCATAAACTGCAGTTTTTCAGAAACAATTATCATTTGTTCTATCCAGAGTCGGCATGAATATGATTCTAGTTTATCTATCCTAATCACTAACCAACTAAAAACGTTGTAATTTTTTAAAGGGTGAACAAATTAGAGAAAATTATTCAATTTTTCAAAATTTGTAATCGAGTTCGTATCGGAATATGTATTATTGATTGCATCTTACAGGCGCAGGCCTCGTAAAATTACGTAGAACACCCTGTATAAAGATTTTTGTCATTATTGATGTGATTAAATTTGTTCTGAATGACATTAATGACACTTTTTGTGTGAATTCGCCTTTAAATTAAAGATGCATTTACAACCTACTTGATGCACATTAATAAATATAAAAAAGAGTTAAGTTTATACAAGAAATGACAAACAAACCGGTGACAAAAACCTGAAATGATGTCTCTTTCTCAAATTGTCGAATTTAAGTTTCAGTTTTGATGGAACAAAAAGCGTGACAGTTTTAATTAATTAAATACAAAATTACAAACCTTATTTTATTTCCACACTAGATTTATGTTTATACAAAATAATTTCAACGACAAAAGCCACAAAACTGCAAGACAGTCCAATATAAAGGACATAAATTCCCATTGAGACATTTTCAAGTGCCAAATTTTTCGACTGAATCTTCTCATTCGACTTCAAAGCACTTGCAATTTTATAATTGACGATTCTTCTAAAATAAGCCGTGAAACCACTCGAATGCATCCGACTCACGACTTGGGTAATTCGATCATGTTCAATAACTTAAAAAAATTAAATGGAACACCCTATTTATTGTTTTTGCATTTAAAAGTTTATTTAATTTTTTTGGGTGTTTATAACCAATAACTAAAAAGATATTTAACGTTAAACTTAAAAAAAATAATGATTATTGTTTCAGTAGCCAAAAAGTGCACAGTTGCACAAGAGATGGAAAAAATATCACTTAATAATCACATTTGTGTTAAACTGAATCTATTATTCTTTATTTTTACAATAAAATAATTCGAATTTCAGTATTTATAACGACTTTTACAATCTCTGGATAAATCAACGGATAAGTGATCCGTGGAAGAATTACTATGGTTTACATAGTATCAACAATGCTCAGATATTGATAGGCATTGTTGCTACAATTAATATTGATTGTTAAATAACTTTTCATTTATCAATTCTGGACATTAAAAGTTTATTTTTTTAGATAGGCAATTTATCAATCTATTAGATGCAAAAATAAAAAATGGGGTGTTCCATTAAAATTTTTTAAGTTATTTAACTTTCAACAAACTTTTTAATTTATAATCTTTACAAATGCAAAACACAAAAAAATTGCTACAGCTTTAAATTGTGTACTTCCTTCTTTGGAGAAGTAAAAAAAATTGTTCTAGCTGTCTTAGTTTTTGTGTAATAAATTCAAAAAACGTGCGTGTTTTCGTCAAAAAAAAAAACGTCTTATTTTTAAAACTAAGCAAAATCGACTAATAAAAGGTTAAAAAAACATTGTTTTAAAAGGCTACATCTAAAAATGCAAAGAAACATACGGTGATTCGTTTAAAAAAACACAAGTTTGTATGAGACATGCTGTAAGGTTAAAAATAATTTTAGGTGATGCACTAGATTAGTATCTATCAATGTTCTAAACATTTTTTTAAATTTTACAATTTAAAGCTTTTTCAACTCACCCTGTATTTTTTAGTTGGTTTTTATTTGATATTGAGATAAAAATTGTGCAATTTTTTTAGATTTTCAATAATTGCTCCATCTAAAAATAACACTAATAAAAATTTAATAGCCGTCTTAAACGGATATACCCTACTTTTTCACACAGAGGTTTAAAAAAAAACGCAGTCTGTCTTAGAGATTTTAGTACAAGCTTGTTTCGGACTTAATTCTTTTATTTTTATCATTCTAAACTATAAATAATAACATAAAAAATAAAGAATAATAAAAAAAATCAAAAAACTATTATTGTCTTCAATATAAAAATTTCCAATTGTGATTTTATTGGTTCATTTGCATACAAATTTTAAACATTCACGTTACAGATGAAACTAGTTAAAAAAGTAATTTCATATTGCAAAATAGATTTTCTAACATTTTTCCGCTAAAATAATTTCATTTTTTGAGTTCTGTGAAATTTTTTATACCTACTTAGGTAAATTTTTTGTAGTTGTTTTTGACTTTAGTTTTCCTAAAACACTATATACCAGGTAAACAGAAAATATGAAACCAAACGTTTTTTGCTTACTAGTAGTCTAATGATAAAGTACTATAAAAATGAGACATTTTCAAGAATATTTTTGTTGTTATGTGCTGCAAAATTTGTATTTTTTTTAAATTGCAACCCACTATAAAACCTTTTTTTTACGAAGACTATAATATAAGGATTACAACTAAATACATCTCTACATTTTATTCAATTCAAACAAAACTTTATAATCACATTTTTAGCACTTCAATGTTTATTGATTCTTATATTTTAAAGCAAATGAAAAAAGACGCTCAGTTCCATACTTTTTGTTCATTTTGTATAAACATTAATCTTCTTCAATGCAAAAACTGACAAAAATAAATACAAAAAACACAATTAGAGTTGAAAGAAAATCATTTTTACCAACTATTTATTAAATATTGCAAACGCGTTTCATATTTAATAAATGAGACAAACACGAAAATTCAAGTTTGCAACAACTAGTTTCCAGTTTCCTCACATAACTAGCTCAATATTTCAGCTATTGTGTCTATTTCAAATATGGTGTTAGTTGTTTCGTAGCGAAGTTGGCCTGAACACACCTGAATTATAATGGAAACTGAAATAAATTTCCAGAAGCGTGTTTCAGCTCTCAAAAAGAAGATATAACAAGCATAGATCCAGAATAGTAACAACTTATTTAAGATTTTGGAAAATTCAAATCTTTTTTTTGAAAACTTTATGACAAAATCTTAGTCCACTTCAATTTAGACCCGCATTTGAGGTTCATTTGTAGATCTGTTGTCTAAAAGGACACAGATCGAAATACCCGAAACTTGCGATAAGATTAAAAAAAGGAGAGTAAAACTCACTCATAAAAAATAATCAAATAACAAAATAAAATGTGATATTAAAGTAAAATGAGAAAAAGCGCGTTTTCGGGTTGTTTCTGACACAAAACGCCCTAAAACTGATTATTTGCAGAAGCGTGGCCCAACCAGCCGGCGAAAGTAACAGTTCCAGGCTCGCAAATCACCACCACTTTGCAAAACCTGCGCCCCTCGCAAGTATATCATCTCCGGATTTTAGCGGAAAACCGCTTGGGTTTAAGCGATCCGAGCCAAGTAGTCCAAGTGAGCACCCTGGAAGAAGGTAATTTAATCCCAGCACGAATCCAATTACCAATTATCCGCACGTTTGACCAAGAAACACACACATCCCTGTTAATCCCTCCAAATAATTGTCGTCGAAATGATTTATTGCGCGAGGTGATCAAAAAATAAATACTTTTGCGGAGGGATTGACCCGGGAGAGCAAACATCATTTGCTTTGATTTAATCAACCGAACCAAACCGATTAAATCTTAATTTAGTGCCGAGCGGGGCTCCTGTTGATATAAGAGCCGAGGCGAAGAGTTCAACTGAATTGGTGGTCACTTGGGAACCCCCGAACCGGGAAACTTGGAATGGTAATCTCTTAGGGTATCACGTGGGGTACCAGGAAGTTTCAACGGAAGATTCCAACAATGTCGCGCAGTCGTACACGTTTAAGAGTGTGGAGGTGCGGCCCCATTATGGGGGCGAAGCGGTGCTGCAAGGACTGTCCAAGTACACCACCTATGGGATCATAGTGCAGGTATTGTTTTTTTTTAATGTTAAACAGTGTTAATTTTAATCCATGGTAATTTTAATAAAGAGTTAGCAGTTGAAATTTTGAAAACATGACCATAAATTTTTAACAGAAACCAAAAGTTATCAAATTTGTAGCTCTAGAGATAGCTTTTACAAATTTTTTTACCAAAATTTTTACTTGGTCATTTCACTAACTTCACTAACTTAATGTATTTTGACGTGAATAACTTCTATGGTGCGGCAATGTCGGAATATTTGATATGTCAATATAAAAAATAATTTTAGTCTCTGAATTTGTTCTAAAAATTTAACAAAAAATTTGCCAAATGATATATTATATAGAGTGTTCCATTTTTATCGTTACAAATTGATACAGGTGATAGAAAATAGAAAAATACTGTGTATACTGAAGAGAGCAACACATTTTTGAATAAATTTTTCTCAATATTTCAGAAAGCATTTTAGATAAATTTACAAAATTTGGTGCAGTTGATAACCTTTATACACCTACACCAATTCGAAGATTAAAATGTTGTTGATTTTTCTAATCAGGGGAGTCGTAAACTATAGGGTAAAAAGTACCGATCAATAGTACAATAAAATCCTAAATTCTATAGTTTCTCCTAAAAAAAAGATCTCTTGCGTTGTTTCGATACAATTTACCGTTTTAAACAAAATTAATTTGAAATTTTTGTTTCGGACCGTAAACAGAATTAAAATTATTTTTTTACCTCTCCAGTTTAGGAACTCCTGATTAAAAACTTGATTCAATATTTGATCCTTGAATCTTTGTAGATTATCAACTGTAACAAATTTTGTATTTTTTTATAATTGTTTTTGAAATATGGGAAAAAAAACCCACTAAAAACCCTTTCAAGAGGTGCAGCTCCCTTATAGAGGGTGATTCAAAAGTGTCGAACCAACTCTCGAATGATGATAGAAGACTTTCTGATAAGCATAAAAATAAATTCAGATTTAATTTTCAAGCCTTTTTTTGAAAAAAAAAAACAGAAGTGTCAAATATAATATACAGACATAATAAAAGACATTAAAAAATGCCAAGAAAAATAAGGTATCAGCAACATAAAAAAAATTACAAAAATTCTATACAAGGTGATTCTTTTAGGGCCGACATTAGAAACTTTTTAATTTCTAATGCAGATAGGAATTTGAAATTTTGTACACAACCYAAATCGACCAGTCTGAGTTCAACTAAATTATTTTCAAAATGGCTGAACTTTCGAAACTGCGAGAAATTGGCGCCARCTTTGAAATTTTAAGTGGTAACCACTTATTTTTATTGTATTTTTGAATTGTCCTCTTTAAACTGAGTAAACTGTACCTTGTTGTTAGTACTTATCTGTCATAGTTTTTGACATATGTCAATTTTTTGATCAAAATTTTCATTTGCWGGGGTTTATTCAAAACATCACAGCTCTTGAACCCTTTGCGATAAGTGAATATTTTTTTGCATTTAATAACCAAAGGTTTGAAGAGTTTTCTAGAATCTTTAAAATTGTCAACTGTCAAATTTCAAGGCTAGTATGATTTTTTGAAAATGAAACAGCTATAACTCAGTTTTTTCAAATGAAATGACTTTATTTTCTCAACRGCAATCAAAAGTACATCAATTTGCAGAAGGAMTTTTATCAACATGTCCTGCACCTATCTCTTGCACTTTTTGACATAATCACGAAAAACATGTTTTTGTTTTTATTTTTATAATTAATCACGTAGGTTTTGGAAAAATACAATAAAAATATGCCATAATTAATACAAATGTTCGATATGTTTACCATTTTCAAACAGTCCAAAACTCGATGGTGAACTAATTGAGTGGCTTTCATTATTTCATTTGGTTGAAAATTATTAAATATCGCCTTAATCCTTGCCCCAATTCTTTGTAATTCCGAATTGGTGTTGTGTAGACAAAATCTTTAATACGTATTGATCATTTTCCAAAGCCTACGTGATTAACTATAAAAACAAAAAACAAAAACACTTTTTCACTTTTTTAGGACATGTTGATAAAAGTCGTTCTACAAATCGATGTACTTTCGATTGCCGTTGAAAAAATAGGATCAATTATAGGGTGTTAATTATCATTTTCAAAAAAACATATTAGACAGTTGACAATTTTGAAAATTTTAGAAAACTCTTCGAACCTTTGGTTATCGAATGCAAGAAAAATTATTCACTTATCGCAAACGGTTCAAGAGCTGTGATGTTTTTAATAAACCTGTGCAAATGATAATTTTGAGCAAAAAAATGACATATGTCATAAACTATGACAGATAAGTACTAACAACTACATTTTACTCAGTTTGGAGAGGAGAATTCAAAATTGCAATAAAAATAAGTGGTTACCATTTAAAATTTCAAAGTTGGCGCTAATTTCTCGGAAGTTCAGCCATTTTGAAAATAATTTAATTGAACTCAGACTGGTTGATTTGGGTTGTGTACAAAATTACAATTTCCTGTCTGCATTAGAAAATAAAAAGTTTCTAATGTAGGCCCTAAAAGAGTCACCTTGTGATAAGATGCTAACAATTTTTTCCAAAAATTTTGACCTGGTGGTTTCTGTTTAAAAAAAACAGACTTTACGAAAGTTTCCCTGTTATCCAGTAATTTATCAGCGTTGGTTTGTGTTACTTATAGGCTTACAACAGTCGGGGCTCGGGGCCCGCCAGCGACCCCGTAACCGCCCGAACTCTGGAAGACGCCCCAAGTTTGCCCCCACAGAACGTGCAGTGTTCGGTATTAAGTGCTCAAAGTTTACACATATCATGGGAACCGCCGTTGCCGGAAGGCCGAAACGGAATTATCCAAGGATATAAAGTTACTTATCACTCGGCCGGCGAATGGTTCGGTAGGGAATCCCCCGATTTTCGTACACCCGGGGAAAAAACTATTCACCAATCTAACTTTCCGCTCACACTGCGTTTTGTTGCAATAGTGTTTCCGACTAACTAGTTGGGGAGCWGGTAATACAGGGTGCGCCAGRACTCGCGCCCCAGAGAAAATTTTCAAGTAAGGTAAGATACCAGGAACATGAAAAAAATGTTTAAAAAATTCTATCTGKCAAAAAAATTTGAYATTTATTWWTTGACATTTGACATTTTTTATATCTATTTAATGATAMTGATGATCTTGTATATGTTTTTTTACAATTATATAGTAAAGGGACAAAAATTTTGCCAATAAAAGCCACAAATAACATTGAACAGAGTTACAATTTAGGATACAGCTTCCTTGTTTTCTTTTTTAATAGCCTATACCAAAAAAACTTGGAAAATTATTTTTCCAACAGAAATAAATTGAGTCAAAATGCAAACTTTAAACCTTCATAACTTAGAAATTTTTATAGATAATTTTTTTTTTWAATTTTTTCCATGTTCCTGGTATCTTACCTTATATGGCATTTTTCTCTGGGGCGCGAGTTTTGGCGCACCCTGTATGTCGAAAGACCCTTATTTAGGAATTGGTCCGGATACACGTTTCTTCAAAACGGTCTTTTTCTGAAAATTTCTTCAATGAGTATAGATTATTAAATGGTGATTCTGATTACTAAGCAAATTTTAGAGAAAAAAATGCATGCCCATGTACTTTATTACCTTAACAAAATTTTTGTGATTTACTTTTAATTTTATTAACAAATAGCTAGTTCCTTCTGTTTTTTTATATTTATTTTTATTATTTACTTTTACTTATTTACTTTTTACTTTTTTACTTTTATTACTTACGCTAACACTGCAAAAGAAAAACATTTTTTAAATTAATTTTAAAAGTTCATTATTTTCACTCACTGGAAAGAAAATGTAATTTTTCTCTTGATTTTGAGTTTGTAATAACTAATAACACTATAGTCTACAAACAATAATCAAATTATTATTTATATGTTAACTTACCTTTAATTAAACAAAAATAATTGTTAAATTTTTCCATCACGTCACACTTTTTTTGTTACAGACTATAATTTTCCAGCGTTCTGCCTCCGATTTAAAATTTATTTTATAAATTTATTGTTATAAAAAAAAACTGATCCAAAAAGTATAGTAGAACCGAGTAAAATAACTCATTTTTAACTTGTTCTTTGGCGGTTTTTGTATTTTTGTTAATTACATATTTCTTAAACGTAACGTGGTGGACTTTTTTAAATAGTTTCAGTTGAACTCAGTGCCTCAAAATCTATAAGAAATTAACTTTCAGCTAAGGTATAAAAATCGTGTAAAGTAGTGTAATTTTTTTTCTGCGTTTTAAATTCCATCACATCGATGGAATTGACGGAAAATTAACTTTCCTTTCCACTTTCCACAGATTTGCTCGTTTCAGATAAAGCAAAAACAACCCTTGCTGTTAACGTGTTACTTTATCTACTCAAAAGAGTTTTTAAAGAAATAGTTTAACATCTGCTGTAGAAAAAAAGTATTTCCTTTACTTTTAGGGCGTAAAATCAAAGGTAAAAATTTGTTTTCTGTTGACTGGCTAGTATAAAATGTATTATTAAGTTCAGTTCAAATTCTGGCATTTAAAACTAGTTCTACAATTTTGATTTTTGAAAGCTGTAGATAAAGAACCTTAAAAGTCAAGTCAAGCTAAAATGTTTTTTCTTTGCAGTCTTGGCGTAAAATCAAAGGTAAAAATTGTTTTCTTCTTGTAAACTCAATCCGGGAACATACTGTATACTTGCAAAATACATATCTTAAATAAATTTATGTATTTGTAATTTAATAATTGGAGCAAGCTTGTTTATTAAAATCAAGTAATTTTCACAAAAAGACATTTTTCGGGTCCGGAGCAACTTCCTAAATAAGGGTTTTTCGAGATTTTACCTGCTCTCCAACTAGTTAGTCTGAAACGCTATTGCGACAAACAGGGGCGGATCCAGGAATTAATTTTGGGGGG